AAGCAACACATGAACCAGCAGCCTTGTTGAATTAAAAACAGAAGTCGCTGGAAACACGCACAGGTCAGGCAGCATCTATGAAGAGAGGAAAATGTGTGAATGTTTCAGGTCGCTGACCTTTTGTCAAAACTCCTTGTTCTGACGAACCTTAATGAACGCCTTGATGATGTTGTCTGCTCATTGACAAATACAAAATATGGAAGAGATAACAAACATAATTCATCTGAGGCAGAATATCTATTTTAATAATACTAAAACTAAGACATGTTTCTGTATCATTGTGTAGGCACTGGTTTCTGACAAGCAGTTCGGAATTTCTCTGGAGCTAGCGCTCGTCTACATTTTAATAATGAAGGTTTAGTTGGAATTATGCTTCGCTTATATTGCAATAAAGATTAGGTGCAATCCTTGTAATATTATTTACTTACACTTTGAAACTGAACTTTCAATATTCTGACAATATATTCAGATTTGTTTGTCTCTTTTTCCTGGAAAATGTAATGAAAAAAAATTAATAAACATTAATGTGCCAGACCCTGAAACACTTTCTTCCATACTCAATTGCAGTGATATTTAGTCCTAAATTGTTATCAATTCGTGGAGTCCTGTAGCTCAGTGGTTAGAGCACTCGCTTTGCAAGTGAGAGACCTGAGTTCAATTCCAGTCAGGGCGAAACCTTGGGCAAGTTTCCTTACTCCACACAGAGCCTAATAATAATCCCTCCAAAACAAAAAACAATAATAAATTGGTCATTTTCAATCTACGACTGTTTGTGGGACATTGCTGTGCGCAATTGGCTGCCGCGTTTGCCCACAAATATACAGTCAATTCACTTTACAGTCTATTCTGTGAAGCGCTTTGGGACGTCCTCCCGACGTGAAAAGCGCTATATCAAATGCAAGGATTATTATTATTATTATTATTATTAATTCATAATTAATATCCAGAGTAGCGTCACATTCTTATTTCAGGACAACCTTGTGAGATTAGATGTCTCTCACACCCTAACCCTAGTGTGTTGTGAAACAACCAATAACTTAATTTCAAAACAAAACAAATAGCTGGCTTCCCCAAAGGAATACTTTTCTTAAATATTTTTAAGTTTCACCAAGTGTCAGTAATGATTAGCTAACCTGATCGCCTGCTAGTACTATAACTAGTAACACTACTGGTAATACAACCAGTAACATAACGCCACTAGTACTGTTCGTATGCGGGTGGTGTCCCAGATTTCTGCCGCCAGATGGGATCCTGTCTCAAACCGTGGTTCATCTGAACAGCAAGTCCGAGAGCTCAGGACTCAGGCGAACGTTCTTCCATCCGGAAATCATGTGTCGTTGCAGTCGGTTTGACCAACATTGGCTGGTTTGCATTTCGAGAATCTAGCGTTGGCATTGGGTGTGGGAAAGCTTGAAACGCGTCCGAGTCTCTCTTTAGCAGCGACCATGTCTCCCAACCGAATAGTAGCACCGACATCGGCTGTAAATACACAGCCTCTCGTGTCCGCCTCCATACCCCGTGAAGCTGCGCAGCACTGCTCCCGGTGACGTCTGGTCCTCGAGGAGTTGAATGGTTCTAACTGCGCTGTACATGTCTTTGGTTCTAATCTCGTCTTCCTGAATAAACTCAACTGTATTTCCTATTTCAATATTAGTTTATTTTTTAAATACGTTCAGTTTCCTCAACCACTCATCATGATGACAAAAAATATATCAGTAGATTGACAAAAGCATTACCCATCGGGTGAACTGGCAACAATACTCACACAAGTCACACTAAACGGTCCATAGTGACATGGATCCTCACCACTGTAAGCCCAGTATCGCTCACATTTTTTCTGAAAAACAAACAATAACTAAACAGGTTTTTATTTTTTTAAAAACGATGGAGTAATAAATGGAGGGTAGGAAATAAAAGGATACCTTACCCGTCCCATCTCAAATTCACGGCAAGCCATAATTACTATCTAAAGGCAGAAAGAGATAAAACATTTAATATATCATAACTCTAATAGAGGATGCAAAATGTTGCACTGTATTAAAAAGAAATGATTGGCAAGAAAATAGGTGATTCAGACCAACTTGCCCATGCCTGGTATCATACAAAATATTTTATAGAACTTGAAGCATCAGGGGAGAGAGAAATGGTACAAAGCAATTTGTACATTTTAATAAGCCATTATTTTGTGTCAGGGTTTGCTCCTCTAAGAAGACATCCATCCATATTCCTTGTTATTCCTCATACTATTCTAAAGGAATGTAAATATGCCTTAAATTATAACATTTTGAATGGGATAGAAAACCAGTCCATTAAAGGTGGCAGCGTAGGTAGACGTGGCCATAAAAAGATAAAACTGAATTTTTTTTTACCCAAGGGTATGCAAACAAGATAATGAGCCATTCATTTGATATAGCACCTTTTCAAGGACAGAGACGTTTGTTCTTCATGGCTCATACCACTAATTTTGGTCTCATCTGCCTTTGCTGCAGTGCCCTAATGTTGGAGCAAGCAGCACTGTGCATATACCAGATGCCCCCCATCAAACCCCTATACGACTTGAGCATGATTTGGGGGTATCTAAACAAACCTGAGTTGGCAGTATAACTCTACGTGCTGTTTGCTTTGTTTATTGCTGACTCATATCATTTTGGTGAGCAATCACCTTAGGTCTTTTTCAGCTTCACCCAAGGTAAGTTCTATCCTATCAACCGAGTACGTGTTTACCTTCAGTGCAAAATTAGCTGCAGTGAATTAGGATGCAACAAGCCAGTAAAACAAGAGAACATAGTTTTAGAATTGTAACAAGCAATTTTAGGACGGATACTAATAAGGTTTTCTTTACGTAGTCATTTAATCAATGACTGGAACAGATTGCCAGGAAAGATGATAGAGGTCATGACACTGAATTAATTTAAAAAGCAGTTTTATCGTGCAGTGAGGGAGGGGAGGCTGGGTGTGCTGGAAGAACAGTCGATAGGATGCAGGGTCTTTCATCGAAACCGATCTTGCGATCTTATGAATTTGCCAATCATCAGCCCAATCTATATAGCCTATCAACTCTCTTTGTACAACCTTTCGCTGCCTCCTCTACCAGTTGGTAGACACCTTGGTGTCATTTGCAAATGTAACTGCCTTGCACTTAGTCTGTGAATCCAGGTCATCTAGCAATGGAGTAATAAAAATATAAAGTAATATGAAGAAAGAGCTGGAAAGTGGAATTCATATTAAAGGGATACAGACGTGGTAAGCAGATGTGCTGAAAATTTCTATGATCTATTAATTTAATATGCACCCCACGACTTTTTGTGACCTTGCAAGGACAAATGGTGGCCATGTTTGCCTACTACAAGTGCCACTTAACGTGACAGTGATGACTTGTAAAGCGCTTTAAAATATGTCAGTGCGATAAGATGCCATACAAATCAAATTCTTTCTTTATAGGGTTCCTCAGAACATTACAGACCCAAATATTATACAATTTGATAAAATGTATTGGACAAAGAATCCTTCATCACTGAATACATGTATAAAGATGATAGAGGTAAATGGGCAGAATACAGGTAGAAAGACTGATGTCCACAGTAATTTACTATACTTCTATATGCACAAATTGGAGAATTATAGTGTATTGAGAAAATCTGATCATAAATCTGACAGAAAGGAGTTCTCCCCAGTACTTATTTCTTCAAAGCCAGTTTTATGCAATGCAAAAAGAGGTAGCAATGCCACAGTAAAACTTACTGAAACGTTATATTCCCACAACATCCTCCAAAAATCCATCACTGTGTGAGGCAAAGGACCCTGTGTAGCAATATAGGCCTGTGGTCCATATACACCCTGGGGAGGAACACAATTTAAAATCATCACTATATAAATGAACTATTTCAGAAGATCCTTGGTACATTTTCAATTGAATTAATAAATAGCTGAATAATCTTCAAAGTCTATTTTGTTTAAAGAAAACTGTAAACAGTTTTCAACTCTCATTATGTACTCGTGAATATGTTTATCACCAACAAGTAATAAATAAATACTTTCTAATTTGGTGTTTGTGGGTATCTGATGTAACAACCCAAACATATTCCTTGTGCAAACCAATTCCACGTGTAAACCAGTCCATGTGGTATCACTCTTGGTGGGTCTTAGTTATGAGGTGGATATAGTCTCCGACCATCGATGATTGACTTCCCCTGCCACATGCAAATGACATCTGAATATATCAAGAAAATTTTGGTAAGGCATCCACAAAATACAGTCACTTCAACTTATTATAATAATAATAATCCTTGCATTTGATATAGCACTTTTCACATCATCGAGATGTCTCAAAGCGCTTCACAGAATATGCTGTGAAGTAAATTGACTTTATATTTGTAGGCGAAACGCGGCAGCCAATTGTGCACAGCAGCTTTCCACAAACTGTCGTGGATTGAAAATGACCAATTTATTATTGTTTTTGGGAGGGATTATTATTAGGCGTGAGTAAGGAAACTTGCCCAAGGTTTCGCCCTCCCTGAAATGAACCCAGGTGTCTCGCTTGCAAGGCGAGCGCTCTAACCACTGAGTTACAGGACTCCTAATGTATCCCGTGAAGCCCTTTGGGACTCCTGATGTGAAAGTCACTATGCAAGGATTACAATTATGAAGTCTCCATTATAAAACTTGCTTTACCTTGATAAAATTCCCATTGATATAATCAGAATCATTGTCAGAAATGATCAACGACAGCTTCACTCTGCTGTGATCAACTGAAAGATAAAATGTAAATTAGGCACACTCACAAACATTTCCATTTCTGCTTTGATCATCACATGCAGACACCCATCACCAAGAGTATCCAACCCCCCGTTTGCCACCTATACAGGAAACTTCCCGTGTTTGTTTTGTGCATCACGCTGAGAGTTTCTAAAGCTTTGAATTTAAGTGATATCACAGAACAGAAAACGAAACAGATTATCGCAACAAGAGAATACCCGTCCCCATAAGGAAAGGAAGGGCCGGGGACAGGAGCCGAGGACAGGGAAGGAACTGGGACAGAGGTTGAAGCCACGAAGTGCACATTACTTTGACAGTGGAGGAGATTCAACACTGAAAAGAACATCTTAATTTTAAGGTTGCGACAACTCAATAGGAGAAACGTTTGCTTACAGGGTACAATGTCTTTGTATCGGTTCTTCTTAACATTTTCTTGTTTATCTGCGCTGCTTGAAAGGTAGATTTTGTCATTTCTGAATTTCGTCGATTGTCTTTTCAGTCTCTACAGAGGTTTCGAAAATCGCAAAGACTTTATAAACTGTTTTAATCAGAAAAAACGCTCGCGAAAGTTTTTCTCAAATGTTTAGTCGTAATGGAACACAAGAATAAATAGATATAATATATACATTTTTTTAAAAAAAGCTATAGATTAAAATTCCTAAATGCCATCCGCATAGGTTGATATTTAGATTTGGCGGAGAATTTTAATGATGTTTAAGAATCCTCTGAGATCTATGTATCCTGTAGAATAGAGATTAAATTTCTTGCTCTTTCTGGTTTACACTTGTCAGACACAGGTTCCCGGAACAACCATCGCGCCTACTTCACATTTGCACAAATTAATGTAAGTAAAACACATATCTTACCAAAAATTCACCCGCAATATTCTCCTGTTTATCACACCTCTTACTTTTTACCACATTAAGAAATTTCAAGAGAATTTCTTTTTGGTCCATGTTCAAAAACTGCGTTTCTTTTTCTTTCTTTCTCACGGATCTGCAGTGCTCACAATGTCAGTGGTGACGAGTGGATCAGAACGCTGTGTCTCTGGTAATTAACCAATTGAACCTTCTAATTCTCAATGGTCAGAACAGAGTTCAGTCACTGCTCTCTGGAGTCCTAGTGCCCGTCGATACGGCAGTTTTCATAAAGGTGGTTTTAAAGTTACAGTTTTCAAGAAAAGCGTTTCAAGTGCCGTCTTCGAAACTATTTCTAAACATAGATTTATTTTGTCTGTGTTTTTGTGAGGAAGGAAGCACACGCATCAATGTGAAGAAGTATTGTTATGAACCTCTGGAACTCTCTACTCCAATCCCTCCACCTTGTCCATCTCTTCAGAATTAATCTGAAGACTTTCTTCCTCAACAGTGCCTATGCTTTCCTCCCCAAACTCTCTGGCTCAACCTGCACTGTCAAACTCCACCACTATTAAACTCTCCAAGACAGCTGGAGCTGGCCCGGGCTTGCCGGCGCTGGCCCGGGGTTGCTGCTACCTCTGTGGCTTGTTGTCATTTACTGATAAGAGGGGACCCTCCGCCCTTTCCCAAAGCCGCCTTTGTTCCTTTTCCACACACAGAGGAAACCCGATGTGTTCTATCCGGTGAGGATAGTACTTTGTCCGTTTGACATTGGTTTAATGTTCATTGTATTAAACTACAACTTCTATAGTCGAACAATAGTAAATTCTGGGCCTTTATTTGTTGGTTTGAAGCTGATTTTGTGAAACTTGAGATTTGCTGAGTTTTCTCTTTGTGTTTTAAGAGATTTTATACAGAAAGCCTTGCATGTGCGCGCACAGACACTCCCCCCCTCTCCACCCAGTCTCAGGGCCAGGTTTTGAGACCCGGCACCTTCCCCGGTGACGCCTCATCCTCCGGGTAAGAAAAAAGGCTTAATAATAAAACATCTTCATCTAAATTATTTTTCGCAGTTAAAAAAAAACACCTCTTGCATCAGCTGGAAATTATTCCTTTTTTGAAGTCTTGATTTGTGTCAAAAAAATTAGAGGAAACCCGTAAATTGACCCCGAAACCCGGTGCAAAATGTTCCTAATTCTACATTAATCCCAATCATATCCGTGGGGGCATTGACTTTGTGTTTAAATAATAACCGCTCTCCGGGTACAACGCGGGAACGGGTTTAACAACAACAAGATTAGATTTATAGTGCGCCTTTCACGTTGGGAGGACGTCCCAAGGTGCTGGATATTTGGGTCAGGACCCGAGCATTGGGGAGGAATGGTCAGGCTGAGGGAGGGGAGGGAAGGAGGGGGCGAGGAGGGGCAAATGGTCAGGGTGAGGGGAGGGAAGGGAGGGAGCGAGGAGGGGGTAGAGAGTCGAGAGGGGAGCCGAAGGCTCGGTCAAAGAGAAAGGTCTTGAGACCGGCCTTGAAGGAGCAAAGGGAGGAAGCGGCGAAGGGGATAGAGTTCCAGAGCCTCGGAGCTTAGTGGCTGAAGGCCACCGATGTTGGGGCGGGGGATGTGGAGCAGACCGGAGCCAGAGGAACGGAGGGTACGGGCAGGTAAGTAGGGGGATAGTAGGTCAGAGAGGTAGGAGGGAGCAAGGCCGTGAATGGCATTGTAGGTGAGGACGAGGATCTGGAATTCGAATTTAAAGTGCATTAGTTTATTAAACTCAATCATCTGCAAACAGGAGCCAGACAGGGGCGGGGCTAGTGACTGGGGTGGGCGGGACCGGGGCTGGTGACACATGAGGGGCGGGGCTGATGACGAGGGGCGTGGTGGGATCATGACGTTAGCAGAATTTCAGTCTGTAGACCGTATTTGGGAATTAAAGCGAGGTTGTCGCCGTCTTAAAGGCAGGAGCGAAGGTGTATGGGGCATGTGGGTCGTAGACCGCCCACTCACATGCACAGCCCCTCCCCCCCACACACACAGACCTCACCCACACACACAGATCCCCCCAGAAACAGAGCCCCAACCCAGTAGATAAAAACAGTAGAGAGGAAAGATTTTAAATCAGAAAAGCAGGTAGTCAGTATGGGTAGAGGCACGGAACAACACGGGGCAGAAAACTCTAGTGGGAGTAGTTTATAGACTCCTGAACAGCAGTCACAGTATCTCTCAAGGTATAAATCAGGAAATTAGCAGGAGGAAAAACATTAATTGTGGGTGATTGGGACAACCAAATTGGGAAAAGTATGATAGTGGAAGGGTTTATAGAATATAGTTTATAGAATATATTAGGGATAATTATCTGGATCAGTTTGCCGAGGAGCCAACCAGGGAACAGGCCATATTAGACCTTGTTTTGTGCAATGAAGTAGGGCTAATCAGCAAACTGGAAATTAAGACTCCTCTTGGGCAAAGTGATCATACGATGGAATTTAGCATTAAGTAAGAGAGAGAAATAGTTAAGTCCGAAGCAAAGGTTTTAAACTTAAGTAGAGCCAATTTTGCTGGTATGAGAGAGGATTTAGCCAAAATAAACTGGGAAATTAGACTTAAGGATTTGACAGTAGACCAGCAATGGCAGACGTTTAAGGAAATAGTGCGAAAATTCCCAGCGAGCGCGTATTCCTTTGAGGAATAAGAATGCCATGGGAAAGGTGGCCCAACCGTGGCTCACTGGAGCAGTCCAGGGACAGTATAAAGTTAAAGGAAGAAGCTTACCAAAACAGCTAAGATCAGTAGTAAACCTGAGGATTGGGAGAACTTTAAGGATCAACAAAGGAGAACCAAAAAGTGATTAAGAGGGAGAAAATGGAATATCAGGGCAAACTAGCGAGGAACATAAAGATAGACTGCAAGAGTTTTTATAAATATATAAAGAGGAAGAGGCTGTCAAGGGTAAATGTGGGTCCGCTACAGGCAGAGATGGGGGGAATTATAGTTGGGGACCAATGACATGGCAGAGTCATTAAAGAAGTACTTTGCTTCTGGCTTCACCTTAGAAGACACTGAAAACCTACCAAGAATAGAAGAGAACTGAGAAGAAAATGTTAGCGAGCAACTTGGAGGAATTAATATTAGTAAAGGAATGGTTTTAGGTAAATTATCAGGTCTTAAAACTGATAAATCTTCTGGACCTGATGGCCTACATCCTAGGGTTTTAAAAGAGGTGGCTACTGAGATAGTGGATGGTTTGTCTTTGGTCTTCCAAATTCTGGATTGCGGGAACGGTTCCCATTGATTGGAAGATTGCAAACGTGACACCACTATTTAAGAAGGGTCGGAGAGAAAGATGGGGAACTATAGACCAGTTAGTCTAACTTCAGTGGTAGGGAAAATTCTTGAGTCCTTAATTAAGGATGTCATTATGGGATTCCTGGAAGACCATAACGAGATTAGGCAGAGTCAACATGGCTTTACAAAAGGGAAGTCATGCTTAACTAATCTTTTCGAGTTTTTTGAGATGTATCTGCAGGTTACATAGGGGGGAACCAGTAGATGTAGTATATTTAGATTTTAAAAAGGCATTTGACAAAGTGCCACATAAAGGCTATTGCACAAGGTTAAGGCCCATGGGATTAATGGGAACATATTAGCATGGATTGAAGAGTGGCTAATGGGTAGAAAATAGAAAGTAGAGATAAACGGGTCATTCTCGAATTGGCAGGATGTGACTAGTGGAGTGCCACAAGGATCAGTGCTTGGACCTCAGCTATTTACAATTTACATCAATGATTGACATGAGGACATTGAATGTAACATATTTAAATTTGCGGATGACACGAAACTCAGTGGATAGTAGCTCTGAGGATGATGCAAAAAGATTGCAATGGGATATAGACAGGCGAGGGGAATGGGCGAGTAGGTGGCAGATGGAATTTAATGTGGGGAAGTGTGAAGTTATTCACCTAGGTAGAAAAAATAGAAAAACAGTTTATAATAATAATAACCCTTGCATTTGATATAACGCTTTTCACGTCGGGAGGACGTCCCAAAGCGCTTCACAGAACACACTGTAAAGTGAATTGACTGTATATTTGTGGGCAAACGTGGCAGCCAATGCGCACGAGCAATGTCCCACAAACAGTCGTAGATTGAAAATGACCAATTTATTATTGTTTTTGGTTTTGGAGGGATTATTATTAGGCTCTGTCTGGAGTAAGGAAACTTGCCCAAGGTTTCGCCCTGACCTGCCTGGAATTGAACTCAGGTCTCTCACTTGCAAAGCGAGTGCTCTAACCACTGAGCTACAGGACTCTATTTTCTAAAGGGGGAGAGATTAGATAATGTCGGTGTGCAGAGGGATTTGGGTGTTCTTTTACACTAGTCTCAAAAAGTTAGTTTGCAGGTCCAGCAAACAACTAAGAAGGCAAATGTCATGTTAGTGTTCATTGCAAAAGGTTTAGAGTACTAGAGTAGGGTAGTGTTGCTGCAACTGTATAGGGCTTTGGTGAGACCCCACCTAGAGTATTGTGTGCAGTTTTGGTCTCCTTATTTAAAAAAGGAAATACTTGCCCTAGAGGGGGTGCAGCGTAGATTCACTCGGTCAGTTCCTGGATAGGGGACTGACTATGAGATAGGCTGAATAACCAGAGCTATATTCTCTAGAGTACAGAAGAATTAGGGGAGATCTTATTGAAACATATAAGACTCTTAAAGGGCTGATAAAGTAGACACTGAGGGTCTGTTTCTCCTGGTAGGAGAATCTATAACCAGGGGTCACAGTCTTAAAATTAAGGGTCATCCTTTTAGAACAGAGTTGAGGAAACATTTCTTCACTCAGAGGGCAGTGACTTTATGGAATTTATGGAATTCGCTACCCCAGAAGGCTGTAGATGTTCAGTCCTTGAACATCTTCAAGGCTGAGACTGATGGATTTTTAAAAAATAGAGGGATGGGGGATATGGGGATAGCGCAGGTAATTCGAGTTAAGTCTGAAGATCAGCCATGATCTTATCGAATGGCAGGGCACAGGCTCGAGGGGCTGAATGGCCGACTCCTGCTCGTAATTGTTATGTTCTTAACCCCCACATACATACAGACCCCCACGCACATACAGCACCTCCCACAGACACTCACAGCCCCC